AATGTATATTTTTTTATTGCACCATGGTGTTGATTGCTAAATATAATACTCAATAGATGTGGCTCTAAAAAAAGAAACACATTCTTAATGCCTACATAACTTGCTGTACCTAGATTTTCCACAAACCAGACATCTAATCGTTGAATGAAGGAAATGATCCCGGCTCCCATGGTCCACAGTAAGGGTGACAGGTTGCATTATTACTCAAAATATTTCTTTCCCCTCTTTGAAGAGATATATATTTACCCAATCATTGACTTAAGGCTTTTTGTATCTTTTCCTATAAGAAATTTAAATTTCTAGTCAGTGAAATATAGGTGGAAATGACATGTTTGTGTTTCAGAAAGATTTATTATCATTTTTATCTACTTGAAGACCGAGAGTGAGAACTCAATCATCTATTTGTTGATTCACTCCCCACACGTCTGCACTAGGCGGGGTTGGGTCAGGCAGCAAGCAGGAGTCAGAAGCTCTCTCTGGGTCTCCCCCGTGGGTGGCAGAGGCCCAGGTGCTTCAATCCTAATCTGTGCCTCCCAGCATGCACAAGAAGAAAGCTGTGTCAGAAATAGAGTAACCAGGACTCAGACTGGTGCTGCGAAATGAAACCAACAATGTTCATGAAAAAGGCAGTGTCACCTGCATGGTCCCTGGAGTACAGACGGCATGGAAGAGAGCCAAAACTGGCTCATGGTGGAGAAGTAACAGTAATAAGAAATCTTAGGGAGTCAGGGTTGTGGCATAGTTGATAAAGCCATTGCCTGTGACACCTGATCTCCTATGGACTCCAGTTTGTGTTGTGTCTACTCCACTGCTGACCCAACTCTCTGATAGTGGTCTGAGAAAAGCAGCAAATGATAGCCCAAGTGTTTGGGGCCCTGCCACTCACATGGGGGTCTCAAATGAAGCTCCTGGCTCCAGACATCAACCTGGACATTGCAGCTTTCTTGGGAGTGAGCCCGAGGATGGGGGGAGTGGAGCTAATGCTTTACAAGCATTCTAGAAATTTCCCCGAGCAGATTATCAGACCTTTTTTCTCATGAGGGCCTAGAAATTGGTCACTTTTTCTATCTCAGTCTTCTCTGCCTCCCTATCCAGCCCCCTATTGTCTGTGAGAAGCAAAAAATTCCCCTTTCCCATGGTTTCATGTTGATGGTGAGCAGACTTGAATTATGACCCATTTATGCAAGGGTGCGAATGTAGCTGCCTGCTTTTGGTCAGCCTCTCCCACAGCTTCAGAACACATCTCAGGTGATACTGTCTTCTGTGGCTTGATCTGGAAGGAAAGGCATGTAGAAAGACCTGATTCTGCTCTGCGGTCTGGAGCTGAACCCAGACTGCTGCGCAAGAAGTGCATGTAATTAATCCAACTTTTTAATCTAAGTGTGTGTAATTAATCTAAATGCATATTATTAATCTAACTGGAGTTGTTCTTCACCCCAGCAAGAGCTGCTCACCATAGGCAGGGACCAGGTGTCCTTGGACTGAATCCTTCTTTGTCTGTAATTGTCAGTAGACCAGCATTTTGGCAGCCATGTTTTTAAAGTAAAGCACTTGGACCCGGTGCAGTAGCCTAATGGCTAAAGTCCTTGCCTTGCACGTGCTAGGATCCCATGTGGGTGCCAGTTCTAATCCTGGCAGCCCCACTTCCTATCCAGTTCCCTGATTGTGGACTGGGAAAGCAATCAAGGACAACCCAAAGCGTTAGAACCCTGCACCCATGTGGGAGACCCAGAAAAGGTTCCAGGTTCCTGACTTCAGATTGGCTCAGCTCCAGTTGTTGCGGCCGCTTGGGGAGTAAATCAGTGGATGAAAGATCCTCTTCTCTGTCTCTCCTTTCTGTATATCTGACTTTGCAATAAATAAAATAAATATTAAAAAATTAAATAAGGCACTTTATTAGAGGTTAGTGATTTTATTGTCCCCCAGTGGGGCACCATAGGAAATATTACCTGGGATTAAAAATCCTCTTTATCGGGCCCGGCGCGGTGGCGCAAATGGTTAAGTCCTCGCCTTGCACGCCCGGGATCCCATATGGGCGCCGGTTCTAATCCCGGCAGCCCCGCTTCCCTTCCAGCTCCCTGCCTGTGGCCCGGGAAAGCAGTCGAGGACGGCCCAAGGCTTTGGGACCCTGCACCCACGTGGGAGACCCGGAAGAGGCTCCTGGCTTCGGATCGGCATAGTATCGGCCCGTTGCGCTCACTTGGGGAGTGAATCATCGGACGGAAGCTCTTCCTCTCTGTCTCTCCTCTCAGTATATCCGCCTTTCCAATAAAAAAATAATAAAAATAAATCTTTAAAAAAAAAAATAAAAAATAAAAATCCTCTTTATGACACAAACCTCAAGTCAGGAGTTACATGCTCTTCAAACCTCTCTGTCCTTCTATCCCTCTGTGGGTGCTGTACACATGTCTTACTAGTAACGGAGGAGGCTGATTCACTTCTGGGGTCTCACGGAAGAGTCCTCTTCTGTTGGTTGCTGAGATAAGATATGTCTCCCTGCTTCTTGAATTATCATATCATCCCACCATTGGGAGAGGTTTGGTATTTCACACAACTGATTGTAGAGGGTAAGGTAGGCTAATTACTGTAATAAAAAAGTGCAAAAGTCATTCCTGTTTAGACTCAATGGTTTAGCTCCCTGCACGGTTTGCAGTACAGCGGAATGATACTGTGAAGTGGACAACAGGAGGGACTCTGTTTCATGCAGTTGTCATGTCATCTAATGGCTATACCCTCTCTCCAAGCCCATCTCCACACCAGGATGCTTAATTCAGATGGGAAACAGACACTCGAAAAGGCACATCTGTTCTCAGTCACCTTAGTTCAGATGCCTGCCTTAAAGGGAAATGAGGTCATCTGTGTGCCCAAGAAGGAAAAAACATACAGAAGTACTGGCAGATTGTACCATGGCAGTCTCCTATGGGTCCTAGGCAGTCCTTGCTTCACAGTAACTCACAAACTAGACACACGTCTCCAAATATGTGAACGCTATTATGTCTATAATGCAAGAGGTTTATAAGGGAGTCTTTAAAAGGTGAATATAAAGTGCACATTATTTGTTAACTCCATTCTTCCACAGACTTCTTAAAATCTGCTGGTACTTTCTCTTCTGTAGGCACACTTTGGTTTTGCATTGACCTTACTGGTTTTATACCAGCTTTGTTGATTTTTATTGTACGGTTTGGTACAATCTTGCTTTCCATCAGAACATTAGATCTGTTTAGTCTTAAAATATACTTCAGTTTTTTGAGCATACAGATACATTTTAATGCCATTTGTAGTCTGCATTGTTTTACTTCCTAACACATTTGATAGTCACAGTAATCCTGAGAGAGATTGATTTTTATTATTTTGACTTTGGAGCTGAGAAATCCAAGATGTAAGGAGGTGCAGCGCCTTCACACCAAAGTGGAGTACTGGAGCTGGGAGTCACACCGCTGGATGTCTGATTCAATCCCACACTCAGTGTGAGTCATCACATTATACCACCGGCTTGTTCATCACAGCATGGACCAGGCTTGGGCAACCACCTTCATGTCTGCCTGTACTTCCCCTCCTTCTCTGAAACGCTGAGCTTCCACTGATCTTTCTCTACCAAAGTCTGGGACTCTAGACTTTGCTTGTACATGGGAGGTAACTTACCCAACTGGTTCCCATCATAATACTGGTTTTTTTTTTTTAAAAAAAAAGAGGAACAATAAGGTTAAGTTACTAATGCAATTTTAACATACTTATATGAGAGTATATGGGTTGGAATCACAGACATTTCAGACACATTCTTCTCTTTTGAGGGATATGTAGAAAAGTTTTCAGAAATGAGCATGCACAGTTAATCAACAAGTACTCTTGGAACTTGTTCTAAATGTGTATATGTCTTGTGTGTCAAGTTTCGCTTTATATGTCCCCTTATATGTTTTGTTTTAGTTTTTAACTAGTTTTTAACAGATTCAATCTGTGATCTGTAGATACAATTCTTATAGTGCTATTCCCTTCATCCCTCCCTTTACTTTTCTCCCGCACCCTCCCAACCTCCTTCATTCTCCTTTTCTTTCTTTTCTATTGGTTTTTGAGATAACATTTTACATTTACATTACAGTAAAAAGGCTTAAATTCTTCACTGAATAATAAGCTTAACAAGTAAAATAAAGGACCCTGGTTTAGTGGAAATCTACAAAGCAGCTATAAACAACAATTAAATGGGATAATAGTCATTTCATCCATTTAAATTTTCAAGTCATCACAGATCATTAAAACTATAGTAGTAGTATGACATTCTTAACCATTGGTTTGTTGAAGATATGAAGCCAAATTTTACAAAACTATTTCAGCAATAATAATGTGCACATTTTTTATCCTTTTTGTTGGTTCTTCAAGATGTCTGTTTTAATACCATGTCTGGAAGCTGGTGTTGTGGCATAGCAAGAAAAGCTGCCATCTGCACATGTCCCATATGGGCACTGGTTCATGACCCAGATGCTCCACTTCTGATCCAACCCCCTGCTAATGGCCTAGAAAAAACAGTGAGCAGATGGTCCAAGTGCTTAGGCCCTTGCACCCATGTGGGAAACCAGGTGAAGTTCCAGGCTCCTGGCTTAGGCCTTGTTCAGTTCTGGTTGTTGTAACTATCTAGGGATCAGTGGATGAAAGATCTCTTTCTCTCTTTGTAATTCTGACATTCAAGTAAATAAATCTTAAAAACAACAACAAAAACAGAAAATCCAAAAGTGCCATGTCTGCAGGTAGTGAATAGAGGCAATGTTCTTATCTTACATTGTGAGTCTGTAGTACATTGTAAATTCCATGCAGCTTCCTTATTAGGCATGAATACATGAAGATCTCATTACCAATTGAAATAATAAAAGTGTCCAATAATCGTTAACAGATAAAATACTTTAAAGTCAGCAGCTACACATCCTCAAACTAGAATTCCTAGCTTATTGTGTGCTAAGTTCAGTAATTGGATTTTTAAAAAAATTATCTTTACCACTTTCTACTTCCTCTTTCTGTAGGTTTATTTTGTGATGATTCTGGCCTGAGTTCCAGGATGGTTTGTTCTTGGGACCAGACCTGACCAGAAACTGGCCTCATGAGCATATCAATCTCTCCTGCTGCCATGCTGCTCCGGAGGCTGCGGCGACTCTCCTGGAGCAGCACTGCTGTCCAGCTCTTCATCCTAACGGTGGTGACATTTGGCCTGCTGGCCCCGCTGGCCTGTCACCGGCTTCTGCACTCCTACTTCTATCTGCGCCACTGGCATCTGAACCAAATGAGCCAGGAGTTCCTGCAGCAGAGCTTGAAAGAGGGGGAAGCTGCCCTCCACTACTTTGAGGAGCTGCCCTCTGCCAATGGCTCGGTGCCCATTGTCTGGCAAGCCACTCCCCGCCCCTGGCTGGTGATCACCATCATCACGGTGGACAGGCAACCTGGTTTCCACTATGTCTTGCAGGTGGTATCGCAGTTCCACCGGCTGCTTCAGCAGTGCGGCCCACGGTGTGAAGGGCACCAGCTATTCCTGTGCAACGTGGAGCGTAGTGTGAATCATTTAGATGCCAAGCTGCTCTCTAAGTACGTCCCTGTGGCCAACCGCTATGAGGGCACTGAGGATGATTATGGCGACGACCCTTCAACCAACTCCTTTGAGAAAGAGAAGCAGGACTATGTCTATTGCCTGGAGTCCTCCCTACAGACCTATAATCCAGACTACGTCCTGATGGTGGAAGATGATGCCATTCCTGAAGAGCAGATCTTCCCAGTCTTGGAGCACCTTCTGCGGGCTCGCTTCTCTGAGCCCCACCTCAGAGATGCCCTTTATCTAAAGCTCTATCACCCAGAGAGGCTTCAGCACTACGTCAACCCAGAACCCATGAGGATCCTGGAGTGGATCGGGGTGGGCATGTTGCTGGGACCTGTACTAACCTGGATTTACATGAGATTTGCCAGCCGTCCAGGCTTCAGCTGGCCTGTCTTGCTCTTCTTCTCCTTGTATAGCATGGGGCTGGTGGAACTGGTGGGCCGGCACTATTTCCTGGAACTACGGCGGCTGAGTCCTTCCTTGTACAGTGTGGTTCCTGCCTCTGAGTGTTGTACCCCAGCTATGCTCTTCCCTGCCCCTGCAGCCCGCCGGACTCTCACCTACCTTTCACAGGTGTACTGCCACAAAGGCTTTGGCAAGGACATGGCCCTGTACTCGCTGTTGCGGTCCAAGGGAGAGAGAGCCTATGTGGTGGAGCCCAATCTGGTGAAACACATAGGGCTTTTCTCCAGCCTCCGGTACAATTTCCATCCCAGTCTACTGTAGGGAGCCAAGGAATGTCTCTCTGGAATCGGCCACTTCTTAAGAGATTCCAGTATTGTGCTCTTTGTTTAGACATGGTTGCTTGCAGATATTTCATTATTTCATGTTGCTAGGATGAAAGGCACCGGGACAGCTGAGGAACGCACCTAAGTCACGAAGCTTGGCTTTGTTGGCAAGGGCAGCAGTTTGCCACAGGCCTGGACCTCTCTCCTTCCACACAGCCACACTGCCTCGTGCAGTCTGACTCGCCCAGCAAGCGTGCATTTACATACAAGTTACGTTCTCTAATGGTTTTGAGCTCTGCTTTGTGATGGAGCTTGTGACTGCCAAAAATCTTGTGTGCAGTGTTACAACTGATTTTGAATTTCAAGAGTAGAATTTGGTGAGATGTAAGATTCTTTTGAATTGGTGTTTTTCCTCATTGGGTATGAGAATGAATGTATGTTTAGAATATGTGCCCAAAGAGGCAAGGCCATTGCACTTGTTTCCTTAACCTGGTGTAATAAAAGCTGATGAAAACCCTGCGGTGTCCAGCATCTTGAAGACAAGTGATGTGACTTGTGTTACCTGGAATTTTCTTTCCCATCTATTGTTAGTGCATTGATAATCTATGTAGTTAGTGACAACCTGAAGGCACTGCACAATCTGGAGTAGTATTCTGAATCACTGCATCGTTTATATCTGAGAATGATTCAGTATTGAATGGTTCTACGATATGCCGATTCTTTACAATTGGGCATTTCAGAAGGATGTCGAATAGGGAGCTCTCTACCTGTAACGTAAACTTTTCCCTAACTCTCCTGTCTAGCTGTTTACCTTCATTTCATCTTCTTCTAGGAAACATAATATTACAGAAGAAAAAATGGACTGTGAAGAGAGATGATGTGAACTTCTGTTTTAGGTTTCAGCCACATCCTTGTTCATTTTCCACAGATGCGAGTGCCCTTTTATCTCATCTGTAGCCTATTATTTACATGCTGCTAAACTCTCTCATGTACTCCCAAGTACTGGGATGGAAGAAAACTGAGATGCCCTTCCCGTACCAAGCAGCATAAATCATCAGAAGGCTGGAGGTCTCTCACAGTCTTGCTTACCTGTTACAAAACAGGCAGATTTAAGAACCTCCCTATTCCGACCAAGTAGATTTGCATGGACACGTCTATTCAAATAAAAAGCACCTGTTCTGTTGAGAACTCCCGAGAACTTTTGTTCTCTTTTCTTTGAGTGGATCCATCTTATATGTCAAATAACATGTGCCTCCCTCATGCCTTACACACACAGCTGTGGGGTCTGGAGTTAGCCATTTGAAAACACAGACTGCTCACCATAAAGGTCACTAGGTGAAAAACTACAAAGTATTGAATTCTAAACCAAAAGTTCTCATTCACTGTAGAATGATGATTTGTAGCAAGGTTGAGTGTAGTTTGTACTGGACTGACCTACAAACCGAACACATAACTATTGCAGTCCTGATATATGAAGTGCTGCTTCTTTTCTCCTTTTCTTGCATTTAGGTCTGTTAAATGCCCAACCATTTTTGACGGTCTCAGAGGTGTTTTTTTTTCACAAAATAACTAACATAGAAAAACGTTCCAGTAAAAGAGCACTTCTTAGCAAATTTCACCACAGTTGCGGTAAAAATATGACTTAAAATTTCAGTTTTCTATCATGTGATGCTGCAATTCAGTGTATTATAATGTAAATTGAAACGACATGATTTAAGGCCAGTATTGTGGCAAAACACGGTTAAGCCACCACCTTCAACGCTGGCATTCCATTTAAGCACCAGCTCCCTGCTGAGGCACCTGAGGAAATAGAAGGGGACCTGAGTACTTGGGTGCCTGCCACTTATGGGGAGAACCCAAATGGAGTTGTAGGCTTTTGGATCCTGCCTGGCCCAGCCCTGGCTTTTGAACCATTTGGGGAGTGAATCAGCAAATGGGAGCATGCGCTCGCTCTCTCTCTCTCTCTCTCTCTCTCTCTCTCTCTCTCTCCCCCTCTCCCTCTTTCCCCCTCTTCCTCTCTCTGTAACTCTGCTTTCAAATGAAAATAAATGGTTTTTCAAAGCCAATTAACATAATGTACTCCAGAGAAAATAAAATTGAACTAGTTACAAAAAATTGACAATAATCATTTCCTGTTAAAATTGTACTCCATACACGTTACCAATTAAATTAATTGTTTTAAATAAGAAATGACTCTAAGGTAGACTGGATTAATCCTGTAAAGTTTCCATTACTTGGTTATTTTATAGCATTTCACCATGTTTTTCTTTTTTTTTTATTATTAACATTGTATTATGTGATACAGTTTTATAACAATGATATAAAGAATGCAAAATCCAAATGTGTCCAGGGAAGAGACAACAAAACTGGCTATCAGTTTTTAAGCAAACAGCTGTATGTAATTCTCCATTGTGGTTTTTTTTTTTTTCTTTCTACAAATTTCAGTTGCTACATGATCTTCCCTGGGAAAGAAATACATAGAACTTAGAGTTTTCAAGGTTTTGTTATTGGGCATGCTATTCACAGAGGTAGACTCTTTTCCTAGCTTTCTTTCTTTCTTTCTGATTTATTTATTTATTTACTGACTTACTTATTTACTTACTTACTTACTTATTTATCTATTGGAAAGGCAAATCAGATTTACAGAGAGCTGGAGAAACAGAGAGAAAGATCTTCCATCCACTGGTTCGCTCTCCAAAGGGCTGCAATGGCCAGAGTTGAGCTGATTCAAAGCCAGAAGCCAGGAGTTTCTTTTGGGTCTCCCGCAAGGCTTTGAACCATCCCCCGATGCTTTCCCAGGACATAATCAAGGAGCTGGATGCAGCTGGGACACAAACCGACGCCCATATTGGCATCCTGGTGCTTGAAAGGTGAGTATTTAGCCACTGAACCATTGCACCAGTCTATGTAGATTTCTTTCCAGCAATATGTCTGTGATAACCTCTTGTCCTTGTCAGTCATACTCCTCTCTAGCTCCAGTCTACCTGGGATCCATGCCTGCTGGAGTTCAACAAAAGTTTGGCTTCTGTTAAGCTCCCCGTCAATGTTATTCGTAATGAAGGGGCAGGAGTCTAACTTCCTGCAGCCATGCTTACATGGAATGCTCACCCTTGTGAGCCTGGAAAGGGAAAAGTATATAATTTTTAACATATAGATATGAGTATAGTTAAAAAATTCATGGAAAATATAATTAAAAATAACTTAGGGATGTAGAAAATGTTTGAAATCCATGGGGTCTTTAAAATGTTCGTTAAAAATATGTATTATGAAAGCCTGTATGAATATCAAAAAACATTTGCTACAAAGTAAACATCTTTTTCAAACTTATTTATTAATTTCATTTTCCCACAAGCTTTTAGAAATATATACATACAAATGGCATTTGTATCACATTCATAATCAAAGTTCTTGTTTTGCAAGGAAATTCATAAAGAAAATTATAAGTGTGAATTTAGCAGAAAATTTCCGTCTTAATGAATGTCTAAATCCTGTTAGTCATATGCATTTGACTGACTCAGTCCTTTTTCTTTTTTAATATAGTTGAGCTACTTGCTGGAATGCACCAAATATGCAGAAATACATTCCCATATTTGAAACAGAAAAGGCTTTCAAAAGATAGGAATAACACCTGGTTTAATTTCACGACTTAACACCACAGGAAAAAAAGTTCTAGCAAAGTACCTACTTATTGTCACACTTAAAACATTCATCTTTATACAAATGCAGACACATTTTAAAATACAAAATTGCCTCTCAGAAGCCCTTCAGGACAACATGGTTTCTGCCTTTCAGAATCTTAGTGTCCAACAGGGGAGTTTGTGGACTATGCGGTGAGTCCTGGAGTGGCAGGATTACATTGGTGCTGTCTTTAAATCATTCCAGATCATGTAAGACTCTACATTAACCCAGCTTTCTAAACCCATCTGTACCTCTTCTGAGGACATTCTTCATCAAAGCAGTCCCCAAACAACAAATACAATGCACGACACAAAACATTAATTTCTGTTAATATTTGCCTCCCAAAGAAACTTACTTGTTCAAAGATGGCTTCCCTTTTTCGCAGCACTTTGGCACATCTGTCTCAAAGATTCAAAGTACACTCAAACTATAATGTTGCCCGTCCCACCCTGCTGACCAAAGCTTGATGATCCACAATGGCCAATGGACTAGGAGAACCACAAATTGTCCTTGGTTCACAGTGTGTCTCTTCCTTTGGTGTTTCCCTGCTCATTCATGGTCTTCCCAAGTTTTCATTTATTTTTTAAACATTTATTTGTAAGACAGAGGGACAGAGAAATAGATGTTCCATTTTCTGCTTCACTCCCTAAATCACCACATTGGTTGGGACTTGGCCAGGCAAAAACCAGGAGCCTGAAGATCTATCAATGTCTCCCACATGGGTAGCAGGGACCCAAGTACTTGAACTGTCTTCCGCTGCTTTCCCAGGTTTCTTAGCAGGGAACCTGACTGCAAATGGAATAGTCAGGACTCAGAATACTCCAATCCGGATGCCCGGATTGCAGTCTGGCTTAACACAGTGTGCCACAGCACGGCCCCTTTCACAAGTCATTTCACAAGTCATTGTGTCAGGTCATTGAAAATGACACACAAGGCACATAGAATGTTATTTTTTATATTTAAATATGTCCATTGTTTTATTTTTGTTTCCACATTTTTTTTTCTGTATCTGGGGTAAGGAGGGAGATAAAGGGAGAGGCCCCAGCCAGCCTCCCATCTCATCCTAGGGTCCCCGACATGGGGCATTCTCGAAGGGCAGTGCTCAAGTGGTTTTGATAGTCCAGCAGTTCTGAATTGCTGCCAATCTTGCCATTCCAAGCACAATGAAATCACTCCAGAATCCACTGTCTGACATAGTCCGCCTTACAGTCTCCATTGGCCCAGATTTTCACTGTCAACACATGGCTGGGGTAGTTGATTGATTTGTTTTGTCCTCTGTCCTCTGTTGTGGTAACAGGTGTCCTCTGCTGGTTCTGATGGACTGCCATATCTTCCATATGCACCTGGATCTGCTACCCACTGCTCCATTTGAGTCTCTGAGGAGGTTCAGCTTTGACACTTGCGCTCCATGTTCAGACTTGCACTTCTCTTCATGGTTGGGGTTCTGAGATCAGCAGCTCAGTTGGAACAGAAACATCGTCTGAGATGATCGCAGACCTGATTCTTGTGTGTGCTTGCCAGTACGGGGTCTGGCACAGTCTGTCACCCTAATCAGCTTATGCATATGCTGGTGGTTGTAATTGCTGGGTCAGCTCTGTTTCCAGCCCTGTCTTCCATATGAACCATTGGTTGTTGCAGTGCAGCCTGATTCTGCGCAGCACACACTCGACCTTCACACAAACCAGTGGTTGCTCTAGCCTAGCAGAACGACCCGCAATAACTCCCACCAGGCCTGCCCCCTGCCCTGGTTCCCGTGCTTGCCAGTATATACCGCAGACTTGTTCAGTCTGTCCCACATCTCATTTAGCTCTCGTACACGTCCATGGGCATTGTAGCCTGGTTCAACCCAACCAGCCCC